CTTCTTTACCTTTGCATAGCAGCCGCCGTGGTCATTTTATTATTAGAGAATGTGGGGGTACATGTTTGAGACATAATCCTTTCTTGGCAAGGTTATGGAGAGAGAATATTTTTGAATCAAACTCTTCTTTACCTTAACCAGGTAGTTAAGGTAAAAATCAACAGTGAGAGGATGTATCAGTATTGTGCGCCACCTGGCATGATGGTCTGAGTGCATTTTGCCTATAGAATATTTAAACCAAAAAATCCATAACCCTAGCCTAGCTGTGAGAAAATATCAGACAACACCAACTGAGGAACATTCTAAAACATCTTACTAGACTCTGAAGAATTGGGACTCTGAAAGACAAGAGACTAGAAAACTGTCAGAAGAGAGAGAATAAAATATCATGTTGACCAAGTACAATGTGGCATCATAGATTCGACTTTGCAACAGAGAAAGGATACTAGCAGGAGCCTGCAGTTTAGGTGATAAAACTGCACCCAAAAATACCACATCTTTTCTATCCATTCCTCAGTTGATGGGGTAATAGCAACCACTGTTAATTCCTATCATATTATTTTAAAACCCTGTATCATTTTTAATACTTTTGCTTTTGTTGTTTTTGTCTGTGATGTTGGTATTTTGCTACTGTTCTTTTTTTTAACCATTCACTTTAAAATAAAAAAATGAAACTGTACCATTACTACAATATTCTTGTTTTATTTCCTTTTTATAATTATGCGATAGTCGCATGAGAGGTTAACATTAGAGGAAATGGATGACAAGTGATAGGAATTTCTCTGTTTTCCTTGGGAAGAGAGAATATTTTTGAATCAAACTCTAACTTTTAAATCAAACTCTAATCAATAAATCTAAAATTACTCAAAAAAATGTAAAATTTTTGAAAACTCTAATTTTTGAATCAAACTCGAATCAATAAATCTAAAATTATTCAAAACAAAAATTTAAAAATTTGGCGTGATTCCAACTGTCAATGGACTACAGCCATGCTGATTTTATTATTTAAACAGCATGCCTTCATTTTTATAATTTACAGTGCTTACACGGAGATTCCCAATTTTCCCCAAAAAACTTCCCTAGCCATCTGCCACATTGCTAGATCTTTAATGACAAGATTTCTCATTTATCTATTCATCTACATGCATCCATCTTCCTAGTCATTGGACTTCATACCAGTATGGCAGTTGGGTGACTGAGTAACTACATATTTGAATTAGCGGAGAGGGTTATATTTGTAAAATACAAAAATGTGTCAAATTGCAATGAGACTAAAAATGGTGGATAAATAAAGACCTAACACAGCATACAAAGCATAGACAGCACTGAAAAGCTCTAAGTGTTTTTGTCTTCTTTCTGTGTGTGTGTGTGTGTGTGTGTGTGTGTGTGTGGTACTGGGAATTGAACTCAGAACCTTACACTTGCCAGGCAGGCGCTGTGCCACTGAGCTATATCCCTGGCCCATTTCTGTCTTCTTAAAGCTGCACCTTGCTGCACCATAGTAGAAAAAGAGAGAGAGAGAGACAGAGACAGAGAATGAATCTCAGTGCAGTGGTGGTCCTATTGCAATCCTATCCACTAATAATAAGTTCCTAACAACTGTTAGATGCACTTTACATGCATTCAATAATGGATACAAAATATTGTGTTACTTTCCTAAAAGCCACAGAGCAAGTCCAGGCTCAGTCTAAGGTGAGAACGTGACCACCCACTCAAGATTCCTTCCAGTTTACCTCCCTTACTAAAAGGCATTAAAGGAAAACCAGGCTGTGGTTTCAGAGCAGACGCGGCAGCAGGTAGAGCACCTGCACTTGAGCGCACCTGCGTCCTCCAGCGTGTTCACTGCATAATCAAGAACTGCCGGGGGCTGGGGATTTAGCTCAGCGGCAAAGCGCCTGCCTGGCAAGCGCAAGTTCGTGAGTTCGGTTCCCGGTACCGGAGAAAAAACAAAAAAAAACAAAACAGAAAAGAAAAGAACTGCCTGGAGAGAGATTTTTGCACAGGGCTGTTGGACTCTTCGGGGTCACACTGTCACGTGTCCATCCTCTCAGATCTTTGGTTCTTGGTTTGAGTTCAGTCCTCAGTTTTGTTCCAGACACAGAGATCCTGATCGTTGAACTCTCACTGATTAGAGAGCAGACACTGTTAAAGCTGCTGTCTGTAATTTAACATGCACTTTGTTAAGGGAAGGCTACCCCGTCTCCCTCCATCACACCATCTGGACTACCCTGAGATTCTATTGTCCTTCAGGTTCGTCCTTAATTTGATTCACTTAAATGATATTTATTGATTTTACACTGTGTAGGGCATGGTATTAACTCTAGATAACAAATGATGTGTGAAAGAGAAACAACCTCTGCCTTGTAAAGCTAATAGCCCAGTAAGAGAAATAGCCATTTATTCAAATTACACATAAATACAGAACACACAGCCCCAGTCTATGCTAAGTGCTAGGAAATGACCATCATTTAATAAAAAGGCAACAGTTCCGATAATAAACAGCCCCCAGAGGCATTTTAAGTAAAGGCTGTGGCCCCAGGGTAGAATTATTGGGGGGCAATAAACCTTTAGAGGTGGGGCCAGGTCCTTAAGGACCATTGGAGTGTGTTATAAAAGTGATTTATGGAAGCCTGGGCCACTTTCTTTTTCTCCTTTTTCTTCCTGGTCACAAGGTAAGCAGTTTCCCAACACATTCCCTACCCTTGCCATCCGGGACTCCCAGCAGAGGCCAAGACCACAGATCTGCCCAAACTTTGACCACAGCCTTCAAAACTGTGAGCCGAAATAAACGTTTTCTCTTATAATTTTGCCGAGCACTTCATTATAATGACAGAAAGCTGAGGAATATAGAGAGGATAGTGAGAACCTGATTTAAAACAGGAGATGAAGGAGAGCTTTGCTGAGCATTTTATCTGAGAAGTGAAGGATGCTATGTGCGGGTTGGAAGGAGAGAAACTATAGGAAGAGTGTTTTACTTAGAAAATTGTGGGTGAAAACCTGCAAAACTATAATAGTTCATTTCCCAGCTCACATGCAGTGCGGTTTATTTCTGCATTTGGAAGGAGAGCAGCAAACCTGAATTCCTCCACATGAACACACTGAACCCAAACCTTCCTGTCTCATCAAGGGTATCCAAGACACCCCTGTTCTCAGTACTGGCTGATCACAGAGCTACTAGAACTGTCACAGGAAAAGAGTGATGTGTAGGTCTTAGGTTATTTTAACATGTTTTATCACTTTATTAAATAATTTTGAAACAATTTATAATATTGTTAAGATTTTCTTGCAGTGTATAATTTGTTGCTTTTTTCACAAGCATTTATATAGTTTATTAATATAAATTCATTACATTTATGACTTCTTGACATTCTCACAAATCCCTTGTGATGGTTTGTGTCTGGATGGCCCCCCAAAGCCCCATGCAGTCAAGGGGAAGGCTTCTAGAGCCTACGATTGATTCATGGTCCTATGCTGGAATTATGGATGTGGGTGCTGCACTTGCCCTGGGCCGAGTAGTTTGCATACAGTGTAAGGGAGGGGAAGAGGCTTGTTCTTTGGCTGCCATTCCTTCCTTTTGCTTTTGTTGCCTTTGCTGTCTTCCTCCGCCATGAACTGTTGCCCACTGCCGTGTGCCACTCTGCCTTGGAGCCAGCCGAGTATGGACTGAAACCTCCACAAACCATGACCTAAATAAACCTTTCTTTCCTTAATTTTGGGTGTTGGGTATTTTGCCTCAGCAATGAGAGAAAAGTAACCAAGACATCCCCTTTAGGCAGCTGTAAAGGCAGAAATCATCAACATGCAGGACATACATGTGCATGCCTGTAGGGAGGCCTGGGAAGCTGCTCCGCTGGGCCTGTGTATTTATAAAACTTCAGACATCATCCAGATTTCTTGTTCTATTGTAGAAAAACATATCAGAAAGACACACACGCGCGCACACACACACACAGTGCAAGTAAAGATGCTCAGGAAGAGGAAATGAGGGCAAGGGAGAGGAGTAGGGGGAAGGTGATACAATCGAGGCACATTATATGCATGCATGAAAATCTCATAATTCAACCTATTATTCTGTACAATTAATATGTGCTAACAATTATAATAAAAACATAAAAATAAAATTGCATGAATTAATTTCAAAGAAAGAAAGCATACTAAATAGGCAAAACTCCTTCTCGTAGTGTTCCATACTGCCTACCGTCGGTGGGAGAATATTCAGTAGCTGACACCCCTACTGCCGAGGAAAGGGCCTGCACAGTCCGTCCAGCTGCCTAGACAGCTTCGCTGCCAGCCACTCCCTCTTTCCTTCACCATTGGTTAGTTTAACTAATTGCTTGCTATTTCTTAAACATACCACATTCTTCCCAGATTTATGCCGTCCTTTTTTCCTCTTTTCCTGGAAATATCTCATTTTTTTAGTTTACGTATCAATATCATCTCACATGACAGTGGTTGTTAGCCCAAGGACAAATGTATTAAAAATAAAATTGTGCTCTATAATAACTGATGTCTTCTAATACTTTTACCACCACTGTTATATTACTTATTTGTTTTTACACAATAATTTGCTTATATTTCTGCCTCCACAACTAAATTCTTAACTTCTTTAAGGAAGTTTAGATTTGTGTCTCAGAAAGAGCCTAGCACAGTGTCTGGTATCTATACAAAAAGGACTTAAGAAGGGCCTACTGAATTAAGTTGAATAGGATTCTAGATACTTGTGTAATAAATCATTTGATAGCTTCCAATCTACATTGTACAATAGATCTGGCTTGTCTCAATCTACACTGTATACTCTTCAAACTAACATTCAAAACTGCAATTAGAGTAAAGAGCATAATTTTTCAATGGGTGGGACATTTCGACCATTCTTACCCTTTCTTCTTGTGACATCACTGGCTGCCTGAGACGTGCAGCCTGATTTCCCACACACACAGCTCTCCTCTGTTCTTATCAATTTTTCACAGCCTTAAAGTCCTCAGTGTGCCTCTGTCCTTTGCCACAAACATGAGGGTCACATTCCCTCTCATGGCCATAGGCCTGGAGGTTGCCATGATTGTTTTATTTTGGCTTTTTGTTCAGTATGAGGCAGATCAGACTATTTCACAGCAACTGAACACCACCAGGCCAACAAAAATGGACAGCTTCGTTCAGCTGTATCCCCGTGAGTAGGCAATTTACTTCTTCTTTCACACTTTCGGGTTTTTCGGGAAAATCTTTGAGTACTGTAATACTATAATCTTGGAGAACCTTGGAGTATTATGTGATAGTTACAAATGCCATTGAATTACATAACTGGACCCATTTCTGCTGGGGCATCTGGTCTTTTCACTCTGATTAAAGCATTTGGATAGATTCTGTGTCTATTCAACAACCAGAACAAGAAGATGAAAATTAAAATAATGTATTATTTTAGCACCTCATAACTACTGCTAAAGGTCCTTCTTTTTCTCTTGAATTAATCACAAGTTCTCCCAAGGAATAAAAATATTATCTCTTGTCCCTTGCCCCCAAAAAGGAACCATAGTAAAGAGAAAATAAAAACAAAATGGAATGATACGAAGGCAGCCTGGATCCCACATGGGATCCTCAAGTACAAAAAGGAATGTTTTGGGCAATGTAGGAAGTTAATGGAGTTTTAATTTTAATTTAATTTGGTATCGCTCAGCTACTCCAGGCTTTATCATGTGCTGACAAAAGTTTGTTCCTATGATGGAAAGAAAATTGTGAGCATTTCACATACTGTATAAGCAGATGCCTCCCGAAGGAGTGGCAACAGAGAGAACAGAGAAATTGAGCTTCAAGTGTCAAAAGACAGGCTCTGAAATAGTTAATAGAACTACAAGAACTACAGTTAAAGGAGTGCTTATTATGAACAAGTCATCTTACCTCACTAACCCCAGAGGGGGATCATAAGAGACTGTTATGCAGATTACTTTTTTAAACATAAAGGTGAAATACTTCTAAAACTTTAGAATAGTAGCAATGATCATTATAGTATATAGCATATGTTTAAGATTTAAAACAACAATTCGACACTTGTGTTTTCTTTCCTACATTTTTAAAGGAGACTATAATGGGGCATTTTGTCACGTAGAAATTGCAACCTAGAATGACTTAGCAAAAATACAAAATTAAAAGTTAAGGACAGAGGTATGCTCCTACGTCAAAGACTCAGACTGAAGTCTAGTTGCCCTTATACCACAGAAATATCTAAAAGGGTTACAAGTTTTGTAATTATCAAGTGAGAGAGCCATAAAACAGAATAAAATTATGCTTTTCTGCATGTTTTTGTACATTTTATATAATTTATTCATTTAACAAAGTACTGGGTATGTGCTACATTAAATTACTGAAAGATAAAAAAAGATTCTGATTTTTTTTCATAAAATAAATACAATCCCTTTTCTATAAAGCTCTACTATGTGATACACATGAAAGCAAAGAGATGTAATACGGTAATAAAAATGCCAAAAATATGATCCAGGATTAATATTATTCAAATAAAATTCTATTAAGACCATAAAAGCTCAATTTCCATAATTCAAGTTGAACTTTCTAAGTCCCAGTGTCCAAGCTCCGACATCAGAATTTGAGACAAAAACCAATGGGGGTGGGGGGTAGGTACTAAAAACAGGGCGATGAGGGCAGTAACAGCGGTGGTCAAAGCGATCATGATGATGAGCATGAGAACGATGTTTCGGCTAATCATATCCTGGGAGGCTCTAACTTTGAACCTCGAATCCAAATCCTTTTGCAGAAGCAAAATTGTGCAAATTTTAAATGAGGATAAGAACAAAAATTCTAATGAAGCTTACTTTGTCCCAGGCCCTATGTGAACTTACTTTGCACGTATTTTCAAACCCTCAACCCTTGGTGTACTTGTTTAGAAAAAACACCTACAATGAAGTTAGGGTTTAGACAGATTAAATAATGTGACCAAGGCCAAAATAGTGAAAGAAAGAGACTCATTGAATTCCAAGCCTGGCCTTTTGCCTCAGAAACCCATACTTGAACCACTACATCGTATGACAGACATTGTTTATCAGGCTTGAATTTATGGACCTATTTTCCCTAACAGACTTGTCAAAATATATTTTTGTCTCCAGCAACATCAGTCAGCCTTTTCTTTGTTTGTTTGTTTCTTTGGTTTTTTTTTTGTTTTTTTTGTTTTTTTTGTTTTTTTTTTTGTCTTTTTGAGACAGGGTCTCACTATGCAGTTTGTTTTTTGTTGTTGTTGTTTTTTTTTTGTACCAGGAATTGAACTCAGGACCTTGCACTTACAAGGCAGGCACTTGTACCACTAAGTTATATGCCCGGCCCTGGCTGTGCAGTTCGAGCCGACTTTGAGCTCACTTTGTAGCCCAGGCTGGTCTCGAACTCGCAGTGATTCTCCTGCCTCAGTCTCCCGAGTACTGGGATTACAGGCATGCGCCATCATGCCCAGCTTCATTTGGTTTTTGAGACAAGTTCTCACTATGCAGTTCAGTCTGGCCTTGAACTCATTATGCAACCCAGGCTGACCTTGAACTCTCAGTGATCCTCCTGCCTCAGCCTCCTGAGTTCTGGGATTACAAGGGTGCGCCACCACACCTGGTAACATCAGTTAACATTTAAAGAGCAAGAATATATTCTTTGTGGGATGTGTTAACTCAGTAAAAACAAGATTATCTTATTTCTCTTTACTGTGAACATTCTGCAGAGTTCAAAGCAGTTGCTTTGAACCACTGTGAATTTAAAGTACTATTATGTACACATACATGACTAAAACATTTTTTACAAAGGCAAAGAAACATGTTTGACTATTTGAAAATGACTAGATTGTGCTGCCTTCCTGTGGATGGATCCTGAATACAATTAGTCCTAATGCATATCAATCTCGGAATGCAAAAGCTTAGCGTTCCGCGTACACCTGACCTTTCTGTGCTCCTTCTGTTCTGATCTTACTCTGTCCCAGCTACTGGAGACATGAGCAGGTAAGTAAAACGAAATCTCTGTCTTCATAGAGACTTACAGAGTAAGACCCATTTCACAGACAAGGAAACTGAGGCTTGGGGAGGTTGGTGGGTTGTCCAACGTGCCGACTGTGAACAGCTCAAGTGGAGTATGAACTGAGAGCTGGCGTGGAGCTCAGGTGTTGCTCTCGATGCATGTGACGCTGAGGCGCCCTAAATGTGAGAACGCACTCTCATCCCAGCCGGGGACAGAGGAAACCTAAAGACTCTCTAAGATGTTCATAGTTCGAGATTTCTCCGCATTGAAATTTTCCAGTATCCCCATTTTCTGCTGCTAATGCTCAAGAAAATGTGGGGGCAGCAAGGAACGGGCGAGGGGAGAGAGGAAAAACCAGGCACCAGGTTTAAATTCCTGCCGTCTTGGTTGAAAACTCGGAAACGTGCTGTGTGCTACCCGGCAGGAAGTCTTGGGTTATCAAGGCAGCATTTTCTCCTTGGGTCTAAAACGTTTCAAAGAAAAGGAACTTTGCTGGCAGTGACTCCTTACAAAAGTGCGATGTAACTTTGAGGAGAGCGTCTCAGCAGCGGCACCGCCAGCCCTGTGACCCACAGTTCTCGTGTGTGAGGCCGCCGGTGCCCGTGGGGTGCTCAGCAGCGCCCCACCTCCCCGCAGGATTTCAACAGCAGCAGCCCTCTCCCGCCCGCCGAAACAATCACAATAGCTTCAGATATCGCCAAAGGCACTCGGGCTCTAAAGTCTAGAAACACTGGTTTTTAACCTTTTAAAAATCTCCCCAGAGCGCAAACCCCTAAAGAAATCCCTTTTTCTCCTACAAGGTGCACACGCTATACTTTTCGATGGCAAAACGTCGCAGCACAGAACTTGGCGCTTCGCGCCTTTCCCCACTAGAAAACTCTTAAAGCGGGGTAAAAAATATATATAATCTTAATTATTTATCCACTTTTATTCTTACTTTTCATACGTATTTGTCAAGAGCCTTCACAACTTTGGAGAGACTCTGTATTCCCTTAAATAATAGATGAGGGTTTTGTTCCCCCTTGTGGTGAAAAGCAGTAAGAAGCATTGAATCAAAGGTGAAGTTAGTTCATAGTTAATAGTGAAATCCCCTCTCCCAAAACTGGGTGTATTTTCCAAACGAGGACAGACAGAGACGACAGAGCACTGTAATCTCTCCCAGCATGAGACATTACAAAACCACGGATGCTACTCTAGAGGCCGAGGCAAGAAGATCCCAACAACCAAACCCGGCAACTTAGTGAAACTGGCCCCCAAAAAGAAGTACAAGGACCTTGGTTCAATCCCTGTAGCAAGAGGGGAAGAGAGCGGAGTAAAATCCTGGTTTTTGGGTTCCCTGGATAAGCATGGGATGGGGATCAATGGCATAAAGTTCATTACTAGAGGAAAAGGTTTGGAGCAGAAAGCCAAGGCCTCAGCTGGTCACTTTGGAGGCTCCAAAGGCTCCAGTTTCAGCTGCTTCTGAGAAGCGGGGACGCTCCTGTGCAGCGGTGACCGGCCACAGCCTCTCAGTTCCTGTGTTCTTAATGAAAGAACTGAGTCAAGACGCAGGGGATCGTTGGGGAGGGAAAAGCGGGATTTCCTGCACACGAAAGTAGGCAAGGTAAAAGCTCTGCATTCAGGGAAACAGCAGGAAGAGCTAAAATGGTAGCTGCGTTGAATACCAGAGATTTTTATTTAGATGGTTTTTGTTAGGATCTTCTGCCTTTTGAACCCAAATTCTCCTCTTTTAGTCCTTTCAAATGTTGACAAAGCGGAAGGATGTCTTGACACAAGTTATGTGCGCAAGGTCTGGTAGAATTTTCCCAGGGTCTGTATGCCTCACTAGTACTTTAGAGATTAGGACTCATTAATTGGCTACTTCAGAGATTATGTTTTCCCTGGCACCGTTCCTTAGTTAAGGTCTTAGCCCAATGTGGGAAGATCTTAAAATGTTATACTTTTATTCCTTTTTATCTCAGTGGGCCATTGGCCACAACAACTTGGAATGTAAAGTGCCTCCTTCATTTATTTTTAAAAATGAATGGCCTGGATGTCTTGGTTGACCGTGTCTTGTGCCTCTGTGCAAGGTTTGACCTTAAGATTTCTTCGTGCTGCGTAGGAAGATCTGTGATCTGAGACAGGCAAGATGATCATAAATACATCACGCAGAGGTCTTTGTTTCTCTGTTTAACAACGACTGACAAAGCGTGTTTTGATTCATTTTGTCCCTCATGCCCACTAATGCCTAACTACCTGTGCAACACTACCATGCTCAGTGAACGGAAGAATCGGCAGAATCAGAACTCAGCTCCTGAGTCCACCCTTCATACCAATCAAATGATCTCTGGTCTCTGATTTCTTCTGGGATATATCACGTTTTCCCTTGTGCCTATTCTACTAAATCTCTGGCCCCAATGGTTACCGCTGATTCAGCACTTAAATAGCTTATTTGCCCTCATTGTTTTTAAAATTTGAGCTCAATTTCTATTGTGTATCTATCAGATTGAACCATAAGACATTGCAGATAGTCAACCACTTAAAATGATCATTTCAGTGCAAGACTGTTGACTTCATAGGAGTCGTTCACATGCACGCATCACCAACTAACCTGTACGTTTCTTGAGGGCAGAGTCTGTGTTTTCACTGGAGCATACGTTTTTTAATTAATTTATTTATTTGGTACTCGAGACTAAATCCAAGTTTTTGCACTAAACTGCATTCACAGCCATATATATATATATATATATATATATATTATATATATATTTCAACTTCTCAGTTAATACAATTATCTTTATATATATAAGAATGGTATTGGGGGGAAGGCGTTGCTGTTGGGTTTTTTTGTTTTTCACTTGTTTTTAAGAAACAAGTTCTAACTATGTTTCTCAGCTGAACCAAAGCTGAGTTCAGACTTCAGACCCTCCACTGTCAGTCTTCCAGAGTGCTGGGATTACAGGCACGTGCCACTACATCCTGCTGATCCCATGCTTAATAAGTATCATACTTTACTGTATGCAAATCTGCCTATACAGCGTGCCTCACTCAGAGTAACCCTGTGAAATAGGGCATTTTAATGTTGCAGCTTAAACTTCGAACTTCACAAGGAATAAGTGGCTTGATTCACCCACGGTCACACAATCCCTGTGTTAGAATTAGGAAACAGAAGCCTAGGTCTCTGGACACCAAGTCAAGTATTTATTCCTCGGGTGGAAACAGTCTGTATGTTTGCTTGGTGCTCCATGGTTTGTGAAGTGCTAATGTAGTCATTATCTCATTTAGCTCAAGTAAGAATTTGGTTAAAATTCCAAGGCTGATATGGATATACACATTGGATGGATGGAGACTGTAGCTCATTGATTTATTCATTCATCAACCAAACGTACTTTGCTTCTTCTCCTACATTCACACTATCATACGGCGTTCATAGGAGCAAAAGAGGAACATGTCCTAATCCCTTCAATCAAGAAACTCAGACTAGGGGTGTAGCTCCGTGGTAGAGCACTTTCCTATCTCGCGCAAGGCCCAGGTTTAATCCCCACCACCACCAACAAAAACTCAATCTACTACAGGAGATGGACCCTTCACTGACTAATACTTACAGTGTGATGCATGCTAAATACATATGAATTCAATGTGACAAATGATAAAACCGAGGTCTACACCAAAGCTGTGTAAATGGCTAGAAGAAACATCAAGTTTCCCAGGAAGTACTAGGGAAGTCAGGAGGACGTGATACACTGCGATCTGCAAAGCTTTCCTTGGGTGGAAAATCTTAAAGCACTCCTCAGGGAAAGGATGAAAGTTATGCATATGATCGCACACAGCTTTCCAAGCAAAGGTTTGAATGGTGAGTCACTCGCATGTTCTCACGGCGGCTAGCGGCCAGGCTGGCACTGCAGTTTCACTTGTCTAGCTCTAGGCGTCAGCTCTGGCCACACACACGACGGGTGCACATTTCGAGAAAATTAACGCAGTGAGGAATACCACAGCAAAGAGTAATACTGACCATCCTTTATGCCCAGTTAATGTCTCTTCTTGCTGTGTGTTGTAAGCAAGTGGTAACATTTAATAGGTGGGACATGCAAGGGGTGATTGAAAAGTACAGTAATTTTTAAAAAGGTACTATGATAAATGATACATTACGATTAATCCCCCTCAAAATACGTCCCCTCGCTTTGAGCACACTTATCCCATCATTCTGAAGCATTCTGAAGCAGTTCTGGAAGTCCTCTGTGACTGCCTTTACAAAGTATGACAAAAAGCAATACGGCGAACACTGCTACCCAGTGTCAGCCCAAGGAAAGGCAGGCTCATTACAGTCCGCCCTCATCCGCCCTATTCACAGGATCTAGGACTTCTGACTGCTCCCTAAGTGTAAATGACCATGACACTTGAACATCTTAAATAGACTCAGGGCATCAAGGTTGTCACAACAGAGGAACTAAAGGCACCAAAAAGGACTTCCAGACCTCCTTCAGAAAGTGACAAGAATGATGGTATGTGTCCTGGAAATGAGAGAGAGTATTTTGAGAATACTGAGGAGGATTAACGGCAATTTGCCTTTTACTGTAATAAAAACTTTTAAAGTTTAAACACAGACTGTATTTCTCATCATGCTTTGCGCTATAACTTACCACGTTTTTGTGCTCCACTCGTAGACTTTTCTTCCTCCGCTCTCTTTCAGTATTTCAAGACGTGCACGTGATGATATTCGTCGGCTTTGGCTTCCTCATGACCTTCCTGAAGAAGTACGGCTTCAGCAGTGTGGGCATCAACCTGCTCATTGCTGCGCTGGGCCTCCAGTGGGGCACCCTTGTACTGGGGCTGCTTCACGCCCGCGGAGAGAAGTTTCACATCGGAATCAAAGAGTGAGCGTGTTTGCTGTGGTCTGTCTGCAGGTGTTCCCCGCCCCCTCCAGCGCATATGATGAAATCTTAACCCCTAAGGTTGGGATATTAAGAGGTGATACCTTTGGGGGGTAATTACGCCATGCGGGCGGGGCTCCCAGGAACTGAATAAGTGTGTAAATTATTTTCCTCACCGCCGAGACACTGCGCCCTACCCCCTCAACTAGGGAAGTTTATTTTGGCTCACAATTCAGTCCACAGTGGGCTGGAATAGCACAGGAACAGAAGAGGAACAGCTGCTCATCTCCCAGTGGCGCAGAGTCAGACAGCCCAGGCAGCAGCCAGGAAGGGAGAACCTTCCCCGTCCCTCCCGCAGAATCCCCTCCCTTCCCACCAAGCCTCATTTCTGCCAGCCAGCAACAGCGCCCCTGTAATGCGTTCACCTCCCAAAGGGCCCAGCTATGTTCAAATGAGGCTTTAGGAAGGTATCTGCGTATAAGCCATAGCAGCATCCTTATAAAGGGGCTCAAGAGGGACTCCTCATCTAGGACCACACTGACGTCACAGCTAGAAGAAGCTATCTGTGAACCAAAAAGCAAACCCTCGGCAGAAATAAAATCTGCCAGTATCTTGATAGCGGGCTTCTTTGCCTCAAGAATCATGAGAAATAAACTCCTGTTGTTTGTAAGCTACTCGGTTCATGGCGTTTTGCTGTAGGAGCACAGACTACTCCAATCCTTTGTTTCAGATCGGTTGTTTCCTTAGTTTCGTTCAGGCTCGGAGTTGTCTGGCAAATGCCTCCTTAAGCAACAGAAGTTCACTGAACTCTAAGAATCCAAATCAACTCCTTGGTCTACTGCACTGCATCATCCACTCATGTCTCTCACTTTGCTGTTTTGACTTAAACGTGCAAGAAATGTTCCATAAAGAGCAAGTCTCCCCCATCAGTTATTGTTTCAAGAGTGTTTTTAAAATGTAAACAAGTGTTCTTATTTTTGTGGAAATAATTCATTTATCAGCTCAACAAAATTAAGACCTCAAATGAGACCAAGGACAGGTAAAAACAAAGAGGGCAGAGATCACCTAGAGCAGTGATGGCGAACCTTTCAGAGACCAAGTGCCCAAACTGCAACCCCAAACCCGCTTACTTATTGCAAAGTGCTAACACTGCCATTAAACCTGAATCCTGAGGTTTTAGTTTAGAAAAACCATCTTCGGTCCTAAAAGATAAATACGATAACAGAACTTTCAATGATACAAACAGCCCACTGCAGCATGTGTGCCATAGGTTCGCCATCACCGACACAGAGCGTACAGTGACACAAAGAGAAATGAAGTAGAGGACATAGGCCTGGGAGGAGCTGGATGCAGGCTTGTGAGGGAGGTGCTGCCTAGTTCAACCCTCGCAGTCGCAGTTTGTCTTCGGTGTGCTCTTACTCTCTGATCTGTTCTTTCTTTTCCCTCAGAATGATCAGCGCAGACTTTAGCACAGCCACGGTCCTAATTTCTTTCGGCGCTGTCTTGGGAAAAACAAGCCCCATCCAAATGCTGATCATGACAATCCTAGAAATCGCTGTTTTCGCTGCCAATGAGTTTCTGGTTGCTGAGATATTTGTGGTAAGAATGAGGATTTGTACTCTCCTATGTCTGAGCATCAGTTCTGATCACAACACATAGTGGGTGCCCAGTCTACACAGGGAAAGCCTTGATAGTGACGGGTAACAGTCATCATTTATTTACGCCGTCTACCTATTTATTCTCACCCCTCGAGTGCCTATGATAAAAGAGGGGTTTTATAAACATCTCATTTCACCTTCGCCACTACAACATGAGACAGGTATCACGGCTGCTGCCCGTTATACACAATAAACCTGATGGTTACAGAGGTTAATGACTTGTCTGAGTCTGGATTAAATCCACATTTTTTAAAACTCCACAACTCTTTATTCCACTACCTATCAATGATCAATTCTTACTTATATTTCAACTACTAGGTGAAGCGCTTACACAAAACCTTATATAAGTTTCTGTAGCGCTGGCTTTGGGAGCACATATACGAAAATAAGTTACTGCAATTTTCTATATCAAATTTTCTTTTTTTTATTTTAAAGATAAAAGGAGGGAAACATTAACAGACATACAACATTTTACAACATCTATATCAAATTTTCTTCGCTTCATGAAAATGTCACATTTTCCCCAAGTATAATAGAACATTTTTGAGACTCTCCAGTATTTTTTATACTTCTGTTACAAATTAAATTCAACAACAAATATTTTTAACAATTTTCCAGACGTGGGTGATTCAGCGACACAAAATAGTTAAGGTCTCTCTATAAAAAGCTTGCAATCTAGTGGGGGATAGAAAGGACAAATTAATAGTCATTTACCCACTCACCCAAAGATATAAAGAATAACTGAGGGGTGAGCATGAGAAAGTATAACTAATTTTGATTGTAGAAGCAAGGGACATCCAAGGAAGTGACGTTCAGGCTGGACATGAAATATATCTAGGAGTTCCTCAAGTAGCTAAGGGGGAAAATGTACTTTAAACTCATTCCAACCAAGTAAGGATCTACAGGCAACTGTATCGACGTATGTCTAGTCATAAATGGGAAACAACCAAGACATTCTTGGTACTTCAACTTGAACCAATTTGAAAAATCTTAAATAAATACATCTGTATCATTTTCCTGTCTTAAAAAGTATAGATAAAAATGATGTGGTATTTTTATACAATGGGGTATTACTCAGCTATAAAAAAGATAAACTTCAGGCTCTTATAGGTAAATGGATGCAACTAGAGATCATACTCATAAGCGAAATAAATCGGACCCACATGTGTAAACATCATATTGTCTCCCTAGTATGATAAAACCCAAAATGTACAATAGATATTGCAACAGGGAAAGAAATTGCTCAAAGAGAAGGAACAACTGGGACGAGGGAAAGGAGAAAAAGAAAGAAGGAGGGGAAAAATATATAGAGAGAAGGAAAACTAGGGTAATTGTACTGCTGATATCTAACGGTTTACTGAACAGTTAATGCTTCAATTTTTTTGACTAATTTTGCATGTTTATACCTGGGAATCTGAACAACAATTTGAAGACAATGATATGCAATATAGCAACCATTGGTGAATTTCTACCATCTTGTCTAGTGAAGCTCTGTATAATTTCCAATTTTTAAATTTTTTTTTTATTCTCTTTAATGGTTTGATCAATCTTGCATTCTTACATCTGGTAATCCGAGCAACTTTGTTGAAGATAACAGTATGTAACATAACAACCACTGTTAATTCCTATCATCTTGTTTTGAAACCCTGTAGCATTTTTATTGTTTTTGTTTTTGTCTATGTTGTTGTTATTCTGTCATTTTTTAAGTTTTCTTTAAAATTTAAAAAAAAAGGTATAGAGATAGCTGCAGGCTGGGCACTCTGAACTTTGGTACAGTCAGAAAATAAAGAATTCAGAGTTCAATACCAACTATGTTCTGAAGAGACTAAATTGCATCTCTTCAAAGCAGTCCTGGAGGTCAGTTGGGCTTCACATCATCATGCAGCAGAGTGAAAAACTGAGAAATTGAAGTTTCAAGTCTTTGGGGAGTAAGTTATCTTGGGTTTTCTATCCTGTTTTATCCCCTTTTTTGGACAGATTCTTGTACCTCTCTTTCCTTTTTACTGTATAACCAGTGAAGTCACTCTAGCACTGACTTGCCTCTTTCACTCAGTTTTACCTCACTTACACTAATGTCCTTCTGTCTCCTCAGGCCTCGGATACTGGGGCGTCAATGACGATCCATGCCTTTGGGGCCTACTTTGGCTTGGCTGTGGCAGGCGTCTTATATCGATCTGGCCTGAGGGAGGGGCATCACAACGAAGAGTCTGTGTACCACTCGGACATATTTGCAATGATCGGTGAGTGGGGATGGACTTGGCGGACTTTTGTCTCTCTGGTCAGGTATTCAGGAAAGTTAACCTCAGTGGAGGAGCAAAGATGCGCAAAAGGCAACCTGCTCAGAAGACTGTTTGCTCAGTTCTCTTGTTTTCTCCTTTTCTGATTAAGTCTAAAGTTAAGAGACTTCATCAGTGCCCAAAGCAAGCTGCCTCCCTTACACGGTCTTCCCCATTTGGAACTAATATCCTCCTTATATTTGCAGGGACTCTTTTTCTATGGATATTTTGGCCCAGCTTCAACTCAGCCATTGCTGAACCTGGAGACCACCAGTATAGAGCCATTGTCAACACGTACTTCTCACTGGCTGCCTGTGTGCTCACGGCCTATGCGGTATCCAGCCTTGTCACGTATCGGGGCAAGCTCGAGATGGTGAGCTCCATGTTGACCCCAGTGGAAATGTCGCTGAATGACACTGACAATCGCTCGATTAGTAGGACACTTTGGCATCACTGCTAAGATACCAGGACAAATGACAAAACTTCAGATCTTGGAGAATTGTTTTAAAAATAATGATAGTCATTCATTCACTCATCAAATTTTTATTTTGGCAAATTAAAGTGTTTTCTGGTAGGAAATATAATATGCAAAAACCAAAGGTTGAAGGTACATATCTGTTTAATGATAGAGTTAATTGCTCCCAAGTTCTTAGAAAATCTTCCGTAAAGGCCAGACTTGCCTAAAAGTGTGAATCGAAAAATAATACGGTGCATGTTGATTCTATTTTCTCAATCTCAAATATTCTTCTCAATGAAGTAACAACTAAATGCAACATGACAGCCTTAGTAGGGTTCTGAACATGTAAAAGGACATTAGTGAGAGTAGTAGTATAATTTAAACAAGATCTCTGATAGTGTATTAGCACTAGACACTGAACAGAAAAAAATCACACATGTACAGCATGGTGACTGACTGACTGATTGACTGATTGACTGACTGATTTAGACATACTAAGAATTAAACCCTGGCTCTTCCCAATCAGCTACTTCCCCAACCCATTTTTATTTGTTTCTCCCAGAATGGCGGGATTCCAGGCAGGGCTTGGTGCTTCTCTTTTCAACGATAAACTTTCCTGCTCAAGCAGAGCTGGCAGACTGTCATTTCTGAGGAATTGTGCTAAAGAGAAATTGATTCCTCCTTCTTTACCCTCCAATGTGCTCGGCACCGTGCCACTTGTACAAGTCGCTCTTTCACATGCAAGTGTAAGTTTCTCTCTACTTTCTTTTTCAACGATGCACACAGTAACAATAGTCTTTTTGGAATATGATAACAAATGTGAGCTAAACACTGCATAAATACACCAAACACTGCTAGAATATTTGCTCCGCATACCATCCCCCACTGCCCCTTCTGTCGATTTTCTCACGTTACGTCACCCCACACTGGATTACGTTTACCCCATGACTCACCCACTACCAAGGGATCCTGGTAAGAAAGATATCAAATGTCAGTGGCTTGGGAAAAAGACCTTGTGTAACTACCAACATTTCTTTTCGTTTAATTTTCACATAGATTGCGTCACTTTTATGTTTCTGCTTTACCCTTTGTTATGGTTTCTATCTAGACATCTCCCCTCGGGAGCCTCCTGGGCTCAGGGGCTGAATTTGGGGAGGGGACTGGGTTATGGGGCAGGTGGGTATCTGCTGGAGGTGCTGGGACAAGGCGAGTTTGTCACTGTGGGCGTGGCCTGGAAGGGACGCTCCCTCCCTGCTGCTCCTCCTCTCCATCTCTGTTCTGAACAATGTAACAGGACGCGAGCAGCCTTCCTCTGCTGTGCCCTCTGCCATGTCCTCCTGCCTTGGAGGCCGTGGTCTATGGACTAAAGTGTGAGCCAGAATGAAGTTCTCCTTTACATTGTGGGTGTTGGGTATTGTGTCCCAGCTGCCAAGGAGAAAGGGTCCAAGACAACTTCGGCACATAAGGTTCCTTCCAGTTAATGTTCTTTTACTTGTATCAGTAGCTCTTTCAGCTGAGCCCTGTGCCAGCCACCGAGTCCTGTTCCCTCCGGCCCTGAACTCTGCCTGACGATGCTCACACCTCACTCCTGTGCTGCCTGCACACAGGTTCACATCCAGAACGCGACCCTCGCGGGAGGAGTTGCTGTGGGCACCTGCGCGGACATGGACATCCAACCGTACATTGCTATGATCATTGGAAGCATCGCAGGACTCGTCTCTGTGCTTGGCTACAAGTGCCTGACTGTAAGTATGGCAGCTGCTCAGAGTCCAACTCTGAATCTGTACCATCTTTTACACGTCAACAGCAGAAAAAATAAAAGGGTGTGGTTTCCTTTCCTAAGCATCTTCCGTTGTTTAGAGGCCCTGTGCCTTCCTCTCCGACATGCCACTCACGCTTCAGGGTCCTGTGGGTCTGTACGTGCTTGCTTTCTGTGAGGCAGAAGTCACTGATATCAGTTGTTTATAATTTAGCATGAATTCTGTGTACATGTCTGTGCTGTTTTCCTCCGGGGAATTTGCACCGCATATTTTTTGATTTTGTCTGCTTTGTATAGCTAAGGATTCCGTCTTCTTTAAAGAGATGTGGGATGTCACCAGGTAAGAAGGGCCTAAAATCAGACCCAGCGATTAGCGACTGAAATGGCAGACTGTCATATATGCACTCAAGTCATCTGACCTACGTGGATTTCAGTATCGATGGAGAACCGAGCTATAGATAAAATTTATTCTGGGTAGAAAAGGAAATGGGGAGATGTAAGTCAGAGGACAAAGTAGCAGATAGGTTTCTAAGTTATATAAAGGCACTCATCCTAAATAAGTACATTTTAGCTGCTCATGCCACAAAAACAAACAAAAAAAAGGAAACAAAGGTAATCTGAAAGTGATGGAATGTTAATTTTCTTTACTACAGTAGCTTTACTATCTATATGTATTGTATAACATGTATAGTATATTTTAAATGTAAACTGTAATTGATAAAACTTTCTCCTGTGCATTTACTTACTTCTGTTATAGAACCGTGTATCTCTAACGAAATACTAGCCTCTCCCCTTTTTTTTTTTTTTTTTTTTTTTTGGTTTTTCTCCGGCACCGGGAACCGAACTCACGACCTTGTGTCTCTCTCCCCTTTTTATGATCCTAGCCGTTCTGTGCTACTACACTGAGGATCCACGACACATGCGGGGTACACAACCTACACGGCTTGCCCGGTGTGGTAGGAGGTCTTGCAAGCATTGTGGCTATAGCTGTGGGAGTGTCTAATACGTGAGTATAGCAGGGATTTTCCTTTCCCTGATTCTGTGCTGTTTTGTCTCACTGTCTGAGCTGTCCAGTGAAGGGGGAGCAGGTCCCCAGGCCAAGGTTTTTAAGTGTCATACTTACTGGTAACAAAAAAACAGAACTGAGAGAAAAAACTGTATTGGGAGATGTGAGTTACCTAACACTACTATGAATTTTTAAAAAATTAAGTGCTACTTTAAATCTCTGCTCCACAGACAACTGTCTCTTACCAGTGCCATTCGATAGTCACAGTCCAGTTACGGTGGTTGGCTGTTTTTCTCGGTCCCACCAAAGTGGGAGTGGACAAAAGTAAAGAGCCGAACAGTAATTTCTCTGCAGTCCATGTAAAACACGGGGAGCCTCAAGTAGACAGCGGTTCCACCTAGGGAGTCAGGAAGACTTGCCCTGGCTCGGTACCCATTAGCTGTGTGACCTTAGACATGCCACTTAATTTCTCTGCTTCTCAGACTCCTCCTCTGTGAAGTAAGATTGGAGTATTTATTTTCTAAAATCCCTTCTAGTGGTGAGAGACCTACATTCTCCCCAAAGACGGTACATGTGTCTATTAAATGGTCAGAGAAAAAACTGTGAAAGCAAACCCAAAAGAATGAAAGTGGTATCATAAGCTATCAAACATATGTATGTATGTACTTATATTTAGAGACAGGGTCTTGCTATGTGGTTCAGGCTAGCCTGGACCCCCTATGTAACCCAGGCTGACCTCAAACTCACAGCAATCCTCCTGCCTCAGCCTCCCAAGTACTGGGATTACGGGCAGGCACCGCTATGCCCAGCCTCAGTTGTTATTTTAAGACAACAAAATTGAAACAACTTGACATGAATATCAAGTATGCAAAACAGCTGGGAAGATTACAGATTACAGATCACTAACAGAATAAAGAACCAGAATGCTCAATTTTTAAAGCCAATTAAAGCACAAAGAAAAATAGTAAATGTGCCTGGAAATGTCTCAGTGACATTTGCATAGAGTGCATATAATGGATTAAAGTTGGATTTGAAAAAAATTTTAACAGGTTAAAATTTTAACAGATTAAACTTTTAATCTATTACTAATACTTTTTTTTAAAAACTCACTTAATCCTATGTTGAAATTTTCTTCCTAATTCAAGCATCTAGTTCACTCATTTATCTATGTTTTCCTTGTTTTAAAACACCTGCTGCAAATCTTGAAGACAATCTCAGAAAGATCCACTTTTTAAAATTCTCTTCAAGACCCAACAGACTACTAGGTTCAAACACTAAATATTTTAATGCAAATCAAGCACGGTACGGCATGAACCGATGTGCTGAGCTCCTAGGTAGTGGAGTACTATGTAGTGTACAAAAACCCTGACAGATGCTGTATGATTAGGAATACTTGAGCATCATTCCTACAGTAGTATCACAAATGCAGTTAAACAAGTCTATCCATCTCAGAAAGCAGAGCCTTACTGTGTCCAGACATTGAGTTGGTTTTATGCCTAAAGGTCTAATCCTTGGAGATGCAGGTTTACCAACATCTTCTTGATCTATTTGTGGAGGGAGGGTTTCAGTAATAGCAAGGGCAGAGAAAGGGCAGAGGGCGATTCCCAAAACCTTCCTCTATGTAAAAATGGTATGAATTGTGTCTAACTCAGCGTTTTCAGAGCCTATTTGACAGCAGAACAATTTTCATTAAAAGTATTTCTTAACACTTATAAAAGGTCTTGCAATTTTCCTATAAAAATAAGCTTATTTTTTTCTTGCTCAATTCTTTTTTTATTTTAAAGACAATAAAAAATTTTTTAAAAACCATTAAGAACTGTACAGAATTTCAAAGTAAGATGATTGGCGGTCAACAATGGTTGTTAAAAAATAACAGTTTAGGAAAGAAAATAGAATACAGCAATATCTTTAACAGCAATAGAGATTAAAGAAATGTAAACTGAAAGGTAGTACAAGTAGAGATATAGTGATATGAATAGTACAATTTCCTGTTCAAAAAAACCATAAAAAGTACATATAGCCTTCCAATTTGATCACATTTCTAAATAGGTTTTACTTTAAGAAGATAATTAGACAAGTTTAACAGCATATTTAACACGTCCTTACAGAATTTTTTAAAAAAGAGAACACTGAGAGCACATAAATATCAACCTATAAAATTATAATTAAGTACATTTGTGCAGTGTATCATTCTGTAGCAAGTCTTATAGTCCAGAGCTATATTTCCTGACATGAAAGAAAACGTAAGGCATATTTAATGGAAAATCAGTACTATAACATGACTGCATTTTCATAAATATACATATTTTGATCTTACATTTTTATTTTGATGGGACTTGAGGGATATTACATTCCTCCCTTTCTTTTTGTGATCTCATATTTTTATTTAGTACATTCTTTGGGTTCTAGTGATCCCCTTGGATCATGAAGCTGAAACACCAGTGCACTCTCACTTTTTAACCCTCTGCTTCCCTGGAATCACGCCTTCAATCTTTCCACAACTCCAAATTGCTCGATATAAGGGCCCTGAGACGCCCACATTCCTACCTTATTGCCACTCACGTCTTGCCTTCGGGCTCTCAATAGCTTTATGTCACACATTCCTACTCCCCACTTTTTTATGCAACTCTCTTAAGGTGACAGACACATACTTAAATGTCCTCAGTGATTCAGCCGTAACTGCTGCAAACTGTATTTCTAAACTTACGGAGAAATTTTCTAACTTCCCTGTAATTGTTTCTTCAGAGTGCCGTGCAGAGATGGTAGTGAATGCTGCTTTATACTTTACTCCACCCTCAAGAACCAAAGCTGACATACAGCTGGTACTTGAGGTTTACTGAATAAATCAAATTAGAGATCATTTTTTTGAGGGCACTACACTTTTTTGAAGGAAGGTATTCTTATGATGTCTCAAGATGCATCGGAAGGTCCATTTAAACATTTTTGTTTAAATGCCCCTAAGAATTTTCTAAGCTCTTCAGGAATTTCAAAGAAAATGAAAAGATGAAAGAAAAAAACTAACCAATGTCTATACAGCTGCTAACGTGCAAGGCCGTATTCGTCCTGAAGATGACAGACACCGTGGAGAACTTCAGCACGGTAGATTCCTTTGCTGGCTTCCAGGAGAAATGTAATCGTTCTGTGTTTGGCTTCTTAGGTCTACCATAGCCATGCAGGCAGCAGCACTGGGCTCGTCTATCGGAACAGCACTTGTTGGAGGTCTGGTTACAGGTCAGCAGAAATAATGCTTCCCTATGCCCCATGCTGTCAGCATAGGTGATTAACAAGCAAGCCGTTCTAAGCCTCTAGAAGTAAAGTAATTATGTCAACCTAAGGGGATGATTTTATAGCACTATTTTCATTACTATGTAAGTATGTTTTCCTCTGCAGCATTGTAATGTGACTTATTTTCTGTTTATCTTCACAGGCTTAATCCTAAAGATACCTTGCTGGAAACAGCCCTATGACGAGGACTGCTATGATGATTCTGTTTACTGGGAGGTACCGTACAGTATTCTAAATAAAAATGTAACTAATACCTGCCTGTATGGCATATGCATGACGCAGCTGGATGAACTCTCTCTAGAGAGAAACAGAATGTGTGCAGCCGGATACAATTACAAATTATAGTATCTTCCAAAGCAGAGATGTAATTGACAAGTGTCTTTTCACTCCTCTCACACTAATGAAAAGCTACTCATAAAAAATGATAGGGGTATTGGGCAACAGTGAGATATTACACCAAATACAAAAGTGGACAAAAGGAAATGAAATTTTTACGGTTGAAGATGAGTAAATACTCGTCATATGAGCCTAAAAATCATATGTCAGCTTCTTTCCTCCACCTCCTCCCTCTTTACTCCACTGACATTTCCTCCTACAGTACTTCCTGCAAGTCTTAAGAGGGGGTGATGCCTGCATATCTTCAGGGAAAAAAAGCTTTGGGGAAGAGAATGTAATCAAGGTGGATGAGATATTGTGCTTTTATTTTTCAACTCAAATACATTTTATTCCTAGTTCTTTCCAAGCTGGGTAATATTTACAGAAAACACTTGTTTCAATACTAACAAGATAGGTCCAGAGAAAGAAACTCTTAAGTGTCCCAATCTTATTTCTTTAAAGGTCCCTGGGGGAAGAGAAGATGACAACCACTTCAAGGACCAAAAGCAGCTCAGACTTCAAGTGTAACCACCATCCTGTGTTCCAGTTTCCTTTCCCATTGCCAGAGTCAACTTTCAATAAAAAAGCAGCATCAAACAAGATCGTGGACCGGAATGAATAGAGGCTCAACCCCAAATGGCCAGTGTGAAAATGTCTCGATGTCTGATGCTATCTCTTGATATTCAAGTAATTGTCTAATTGAAGGGATATGGCTTATAAAACAAATGGCCAAATGGATCATCCTTGAAAACTCCTTTGCCTCTGGGTAGGTACAGAATGACCATTTGCTGTAAATTCTTAAGTTTTTCTCTCCTAAGGGGTTGATTTATACAGAAATCAACACTTCCTAACCCTGTGTTTCTTAATGTAGATTCTGTACCGTTATTCTCCATGATTATGTAACTGTAATATATGTACAAATCTATATAAGGAAAAATGAAGAAAATGTGTGCATATAAGCAGGATTATTACTTTTTGGGGTAGTGGTTTTTTTCCTTTTAAATATGGTCATTTCAGCATATCTTTGCTGATCTTTGCTTAAGTAGTCTTATTTTTAATTCCTTCTGCATGTTTCCTATTTGCAATAAGAGCTCAAATGCTAACTAACCAAAGTCTATTTTATATAAAATTTCAGAGTAAAATGTTATTATAAAATAAAGCACTAGTCTTTAACTGCTTTGTGGTTGGAATTTATTAGTAGCATGCATAAATACACATTGCACATATTTAACTCATACTTAATTTAAATAATCATGTTTATTTAAACCTATGTATTTGCTATAAAAAAGTAAGTAACTGTCTTATGTTACAGGATAATTCTTAAAGAACTGAGTTTTAGAAAAGGTAACTGATACAGTCACAGAAAACAATTTTTGGAGTATCAGATAACTTGTGGAAGCTTTCCAGATTTTTCTACTATCCCTGAAGTCTTACAATCCTGCCAGAATGTTTGGAGGTATCTACAAAAATGACCCCCATAATAATTAACATAATGTTATTCACAGCCCAGTGTGTAAATGTTAGAACTTAAAAATTACAACTAGCAGATTATTTTATTCCAGTTTAAATATTACAGTTTATTTGTAGATCCTAAATATTTTGCTACCCAGATAGGTGGCTTCTTTCACCAGGACCTCTTTCAAACAGGCCTTTCAAAGGGTGCACATTTAGAATTTCAGATTACTGGTCCTTTGCTGGCTGATCATCATACTATCTTCATTATAAGCTTCTCCAAGACCCCCACCAACTAATCTGAAAGCAGATCTGGAAGGGTCTGGGATATGCAGGTACAGAAGAAAGCTTATCATTTTGATTTGTTCAGCAACTGTGTTATGACATCTATCAGTCCCTGGCTTGTGAACACTCTTAACCTGTCTTCAAGCAATGCAATTTTCATAAACAGTAAGGTAGTATTAAAAAAATTCTAATCTAGCATTCTTTATTTCATAGTAGTATATTAACCTTATTATCTCTCTTACGTGGAATGTAGTGAGTCATTTTAATTGAAGATCTGAATCTTCTGTTAAGATAAATTCCCTTTTAGTATTTGGTAAAATTTTACCTCCTTTATCTATTCATTTTTCTTCTAGCACTCCTGTCATTCACATGAAAACTCTAGTTATCTCTCCTATCTTCGTTTCATTGGTTCATTCATCCAATCTTCCAATTAATTTTTGTTTGTTCATTTGCAAGCCAGGGTCCATTTTTGCAGATCCAACAAAATTTAGTATGCTGGTGCACGTTTGTGTGCACGTTTGTGTGCACGTGTGCGTGTGCTAGGCTTAAATCTCCTTGATAACGTCTATGATTTTGTTCTTTGAAGGTGTGTTATTTTATCTAACTTTTAAGTCTAACCTCACTCTTTCAATATTAAATAACATTGTTTATACCTTATCTGCCTGCTCCCCAAATTTTAAAATGTCAAATAATATCATGGTACTTGATTGGACTGATTAAAAATCTCAAGCTTTACTGACATGATCATGTTAAGAAACTTGTCATTCTTTGTTCTTGTTTAAATCTGAGAGACAGGCCCATAATGATTAACCGCCTTTTAGAGAGTTTTCTGAAAAGTGAGCTATCTTTAGGTCTCTCCAGCACTCGCTTCCACAGTCCTTATGCTACTCACTCTACAAGAGAGCTCTGCTGCGGAGCAACCAAAAACCAGGTAGGAGGGTCCACTAGCTCTACTTTGTTGGAGATCACTCTTGTATAGGACACACATTTGAGTGATTTCTTGATTCTTTTCTCTCTGGTACTGGGAGCCCATGTGGTAGATTGCCCGTTTCTTTTGTCTTTCACTGGAGGTTAGTTCCCGCTATTGAAATACCTAGGTAGAAACAGTCTTAAAAGGAGACATGGTAATCTCTTCAGTGAGTGAGAGATATAATTCCCTGGCCTACCACCCAAAGAAAGTGTCTCTGTTATCCAGTCTTTTCAGCAGGTAAAGCTTGATCTAGAAACATGGTCAAAAGAGATTCAATATATCTGCCAAGCCCTTTAGCAGCCCAAGAGGAACACTGCCACTGCAGAACACTAAGAAGTTACCTTACCATCTCATGGGAATTCACAAATCTCTGAAGATCAGTAACATCCAGCCTGTACCCTAAGGGGATCTTCTAACTCTCTCCAAATGCTCCTCCAAAACAGAGACAAGTTTCCCCAGACTTCAGTTTTTTATCTTCCAAGACTGATCTCTACTCAGCTCAGAAATGCCACAGTTTGATTAGAATTGTGGGATGAAGCCAAAAGAGGACACAGTTAAACTTCTATCTCCCCCACTTCAATAAAATACAGAATATGTATTTGCAGTCAGCTATAAAGAGATAATATCTACTTTAGTAAATTATTTTGAAGGAGGGTGGATGCAATTCCGTCCATAGCAAGTGTGAATCCTGTGATTCCTTACAAGTCTCCTTGGGGGAAATAATTATATTTTGACAATAACGATGCCATTCCATGAATTTTACAATTTGGTAATGTCACACATTCTACTTAGATTGAGAAACTGGATTTCTTAATTTCTTTGTAACCCTTATATTTTGAATAGATTACATTTTTTGTTTTTTGGGGGAGTTTTTTTGGTACTGGGAATCAAACTTAGGACCTTGTGCTTGCCAGGCAAGCACTTGTGCCACTGAGCTATATCATATAGTATAGTCATAGCAACAATCCTACTCCTGCCATCAACTTTCTATATTAGTCACTTTTCTGTCCCTGGGACAAAATACCTAATACCCATAAAAGCAGGAGAGGCTTACTTTGACTCACGGTTTCAGTGGGCTCCGTCTACAGTCAGCTGGCTACAAGGCAGAAACAGCATGACAGAATGGCATGGCTGAGGAAAGCTGTTTACTGCATGACAGCCAGGAAGGAGAGAAAGAAGGGAGGAGCCAGGGATGAGAATACTCTTCCAAGTCACACCCACCGTGATCCACTACTTCCAACCAGCCCCCTACTTCTAACCAGCCCCCACCTCTGAGTCTTTCATTTATTCTTTTATAAGACAAGGGCAAAATTAACGTAGAAGGAATTAACTACTCCCAAACTATTTTTTCCTCTCTGTTAATAGAAATGTCCACCAGCTGACAGATTCTGTCTCCTTTTTACAGATAAATATGCTCAAAATTTGTGTACTTTATTCCTAACCTTTCCATTTAACATTTTATTAATGGCTCCTCTTTCCCAAGAATTGCATGGTCAACACACATTTTTAGAAATTGAAGTAAACAACTTTTTGTCTGAGAACTTTATAAATCATGCTGAAAAAGCTCTCAGACAATGATATGAATCCCTATAATCTGTAGTAAAACTAAACAGTAGTATTTACATACTTCTATTTAATAGGATAGATATTTTTAGTGAAAAAGTTCTAAACGATAGATGTAATAGCTCCATTACCTCTTTCTCTGACAAATCTACTTTCTCATCATCAATTTTTCTTTTTGAATTTCTTTTTAGCTGTTGAGACTTTTTCTCAGGAACATCTGTTTTACCAGGTATCTTGATCTAAATATGGCAGTACAATTATGATGCTTTTAAAAAGCCTGTAGAGATGAAAAGGTCACAGAAAAATGATAAAGCCTTTCATAATCTTTTGTTAAAGAGTCCCTACAATTGTTCCAAATTCTCCTTTAAAAACTGTAATAAAGAAGAGTTTGGGGATAGTATATGTTTTTAAAAGATTTTAGCACATTTTAAAGCAATAACTTCATCATCAGTACAACTACTTCAGTGTCACTCCTCTAATAAATTTGAAGATGAATAAATTCTACTCCCAACTGCTTCCATTTATGTGGCTTTTTTAAAAAATCAACTAAAATTGCTTTTACATCTCTTGCTTGATACTCTTCCATATAGTTATACAGTGGGACAAAAAAAATCTATCCATAGGAAAGAAAAACTTGTATAAATATTTTAATATTAAATTTGAGACTTTATGAGGTGAGTACAAGTTACCTTGACCTCTATAAGAGGTGCTCAAAGTGGTGGCCATTAGCTTCCAGGTATCTATTAGTATAGTGAACTGCTGAAGTGTGTATACATTTTTTGGCAGATTCTGTATTATGCCCATGTTTAAATCCAACAAAATAAGATACAGTTTTCACAATTTCAGTTTAAGAGTAATATCTTATTTTAATTAATGGATTTACCATTATTCAATTTATGATAAAGTTGGAAGGAGGTAACTTTTAGGACTACGCTCTCTTTTGCAGGGAGTAGCAGTACTGGAGATTAAACCAAGGGACTTTACACTGAGCTATATCTCCAGCCCTTTTCATTTTTAAATAATCTATGCTATGGATATTAAACACTTGCCAGTTCAATCATTTAAATACAAAATGACCAAAAATCAGCTTTTTAAATTTTTATAAGATAATAGGAAATATAAAAACAACAATTTTATTGACTTTATTCAATACAAGAATCAACTAATTGAAATGACACCTGCTTAGCAATGGTCAGGACAGCCAGTACATAAACAAACACAAATGCATTGCCCTAGTGACACTCAGTGTAGATTATTAAGTGGTTAATGTGCTAGTCTGC